AATAAAAATCAGTTAAACTATTTTTTTCTTAAAAATATTATTTTCAATAAATCGAAATAGATACCTTTAATGATTGATAACTACGGCGACCAAGAGGCCTACCTGGTTTTAAAACTGGAGACCAAGTGGTCGATGAGATTACGGAACCCCGCTGACAAAACTAACCGCGGCGACCAAGTGGCCAACACCCGCATACACACACTATTATAGCGTGTTAAGTTTAAGCAGAAAAAAGTTTTCGGCACCTGTCTAATAATGGAAAATGTAAAATAAATTGTTTTGTATTTTTCCGATTGAACAAGTAACAATTGCTTCCTTAGCTCTTCATGGACCTTCTATTTCTCAACAAAGTTGTACATACATATAGAGTCAGAAGATAACCATTCTGATTGTCCTCGTAAAAAGAATCTTAAGAGACGAATCCAAAACATGGAAACACAGAATCAAGTCAAGAATATTAAATTAAGGAAACAACAGCAAACTTCTTTATATTCTAAGCTTTCAAGTCAATATCATTTTTTCGTTTTTGACTCATACATGACTTCGGACGAAATTATCAGGCGGACGGACGGACGGACTGTCGACGGACGAACCGATGAGGGACATTTTTAAAAATTGTTTAAAATTTAATGAGATGGATTTTGGTACAAAAATTTTTATATTTTGATAGTTATTAAAAATTTTGGTTTCTCGAAAGTAAACCTATAATACTCTTCACAGACTACTGTGTGAAGAGTATATGTTCAGCCAGTTCGAAGCCAATCAAAATGTTATTTGTATAACCATCTTTAATAGTAAACTCGATTAGTTTTTTAACTGATACTCTTGAAAAGTGCGTAGTTTTGTATTTATTTCGATTAAAAAAAATGTACCTACGTTTTTTTAACATCCAAAAATGTGTCCTATGATTTTACAAATTTATTTGTAGAATATCTATTGCTCAATTAGTCCTAATGATCTTTACAATATTTACAACAAGTTTGTGTGAAAACCAAAAGTAAATTAAATAAAAAATATTAATTTAACGTTCATAATGTAGACACTATATGTATAGTATTTTGATTGTTTTCTATTTATTACTAATTTAATGATACTGGCTGTCATCACAGTAATCTTCATTTGATTCAAATATTCATTCACTCTAGATTAACCCATGTAAAAGTATAGTAGCTGGGCATAGAACGCTTGTATAAGGCATCTATAACTTTTTGATCAATTTTATTAATAACATTATAGATATAATTTATAAATTTAACGAAAACAATATTATATGTTTTAGCTAAACAATAAATAACAGTGGCAATAGTACACGACTGAAAAGTTTGATTTACAAAGATATCAATGACAATTTTAAAACAGTTTATTACGTAAGAATTGTGTGATAGTATATTACACACCGAGGTGGGAAGAGTTTCATTCCTGACGTGAGATTAGTTAGATCACCGAGACGCGAAGCGTCGAGGTTAGCTATGATCTCGAGACAGGAATGAAACTTCCTACCGAGATTTGTATACTATTTTATTTACATCCATCATATTTCGATCAAAGTTAATAAATTTTTGTTTCGTTCTGAACATACCTAAAATATTACATTTAACGACAAATTACCAAGCGCGCGGTTTTTTCAAAATAATCAAATAAATATGTTGTTACTGTGATTACGGGGTAGACAACTGACACCAATATAAATAAATGTCAGATAAAGCCGGATATTAAATTCGCGAATAATAAATATCAATAAGTAGTTTATTGTATTTTAGTTCATTGTTATTTTTTATTGTTTGCCATTAAATAGGTATTATAAAATTTGTCAAAAAAATGTGTTATTTTTTTTTAATATAAAAAATATTCATCTATAATAGATGAAATAAGGGCGGGAAGTGAGGGCGGGAAGTAGAGGTATGTAATGTGACACTTCTCAACTTTCAATGACGTTAGTAATGACAACATTACATATATGTTTGTAAATAAACATATTTCTCATGTGAAGCTGAGTACAGAAATCGTACAAATTCATAAAATACACTTTAAAGTAAATTATATGTATATAATATTTTTTTAAGTATTGAGAATAAGGAACATCGCACTTTTTACATTGATTTTGGGTACTGTCAGAATATGTTCAAATTTTAGTATGTCATATTTTAAGTCTTTAAAGGCAACTTTCTTATAAACCTCAAGTTTGCAGCTCTACGGAGTGAGGTTTAAAAGGATTCAAAAGTAAGGAATGCAAAATTAATATTTTTAAATATATATCCACCACTAATAAGTAATTCTTGTTTTTTTCATTAAACTTATATCATGTGTTACACTTATATATAGTTTGTTCACGCTAACATACACTTTGCAAATAAATCATACAGCGTGTTCAAAAAATTAGGAATATCAGTTACCTACTGAAATATGGTACATTACCATAGTTAGAATATGACCTGATTATTTTTTGTTTCACTTCATACTAGATACTTTTTATATGTAACACAGAGTGTGATAGAGCTACATAAACAACTAAGATTTACAAAACCACATTTATTGAAAAACTTATATCTAAAATATTGTAGAAATTCTTAAAACGTATCATAATCGTAGCTCTTTTTAACTAACCAAATCCCGTTCTACGCCTACTTAAATGTAAACATAATTCTACTAACTCTGTCTTGAAAAAATGACTAAAGAAGACCTATTCTTATTAAAAAGTAGTTTCTGATTTTTACATCAAATTACTTATAAATATATTTATATTTTTCTAGATTAAGTAGGTTTATTTTATTAAAAATAGAACCTCATAAAAAACCTTATACAGTGTTTGCAGTATTACCTCATTAAAAAACTTTGTGATGAATACTGATGATATTTAATCCTCGCAAATTATTATTGTTTAGCTATTCCATGCAACTACATACTTTTATCTTGCTTTATATTATTTTATAAACAAATGACATAACTTTTTTTGTTTATTTGTTTATTAATTAGAAAAATTACAAAAGGATTCTATAAGCTAAAAGGTTAGCGAGTGTTAGATTAACTAACAGCTTAATTATCATGATATGGTTAACAACCAGCGTTATAATTTTTGCAATCTCAGATTACGTTTTATTTTATTTGGTTTCTAATTTTCTTCTTCTTTTTTAGACACAATTTTAAAAGTTTGTTATTGGGAATTTTTGATAGTAAGTAGTTTATGTTTTTTAAAAATCTTTCTATGAAGCGTGCTTTTGTGTTTTTTTGCAACATATTCGAGAATTGTGAATACTGAGAATCATATATTATTTATAGAGTACAAATAAATTTAAAAGAATCCCATTACTTGATATTACTGTACATGTAAGACTGGTTCAATAACTATATGTTCATATTTTAAATGTTCTGTATTAACTGGAATACGCATGATTCGAAAATTATATAAAGTAACCGTCAAGTGTTTTATTAAGGACAATTTTAAATGCTGTTGAAAGGTGATTCAGATTGATGGTGTGTAAATAGTTATTGTATTTAATAAAAGAGGTTTTTTTTTCTTTTTTATTGATTTTTAATTTATTGGGAAATATAAAAATCTATGCAAAGAAACGGTTATATTCTTGTGTTAGATACTATTTATGTCTCTCTGTCACACTCTGTATTATTAATAAATATTACTTAGTATTTAATATAACAAATAAGTTATCAGAAGTCATGTTCTAATCATGGAAATACATGTAAATGCGCCTTATTTCAGTAATTAATATTACTATTTTTTTAAAACTGTATGATGTATTTTGCAAAGTGGAAGGTAAGCATTAACAAACTGTTAACAAGTGTAACATATGTCATAAGTTTCCTGGTAAAATTGGTGAAAACATAAATTACTTAAGAGTGGTAGCAGCTCACCCTGTAGAGCTACAAACTTGAGGTCCAAAAGAATGTTGCCCATAATGACCTAGAAAGTAAAATACAAAAATTTGAAAAAATTCTGACTGGGATCAAAACTTTCAATCAGATTATTTGAAGTGGTCATAAGTTCAAATTTTACATAGTGTACTTGCCCATTACTTTTAGAAGATTTTTTAAATAAATTAATTTAAAGTGAACATATTTCTAATTACGGGATTTGAACACCGGCGCTGGTGAGCATGCTATCCCTAGATTCCAATAATTCAACCGAACCTTCTGGTGTTTCAACCAGAAGTAGGGACCTTTAACGAGCCCAATATCCATTGATTCGGGACCGAGAGCTTTACATCTTCTCCGAAAGACGACTGTAGAGTAGGGTGTTTCATTTTTCCAAAGATGTTATTTTCATACGACTTTGCTTACGCCCTACAAGTGATAAAAAAAATATATGCAAAATTTCAAGAAGATTGGATAATATTTAGGGGTTGCACACATTGATCACTTTTATTACAAACTGGTGAAATTTCTAACATTGACTTGTTTTGTACTAGTTATGTTTGATCTTTCAATGTATGTTGTTCATCTTTTACAGGTAACTGAGCTATAAAATGGGAACCAAAAGAGGAATTTGGTTGCTAAAAAAGGTGACTAGTGGTGAGTTTTTAGGAGCTCGGCTCCCTTCAAAGAAACAAGTACTATTAGTTTTTATTTACCATCATAAGGATATGAAAGAAACACTTTCGGAAGCTGCTAAATCTACCAGTACTAAACTACAGGAAGTGTGGAGGAAAGCTGGTATCCCTGTTAAGACAGAGGAGAATATACATGCTGGTATACCGAAGCTATACAAAGAATTCTAAAATCTACGTAAAGAACAATCTAGAAACACCGATAAAGCTAACATAAAACGGCATATTCAGAAAGGTGATTTTGTCGAGTTATTTGACATTTCCCAGCAGAATGTGATGAAAATGGCAAGCTTATCGGAAGAAGATAAAGCATTTCTTAGATCACAAATACAAGACCGAATAAATTCATCAATGACTGGAGTAAACAAAATAAGAACTAAATGTATAAAAGGAGACAAACATTATTGATATAAGAATAAACATTACAAAGCTATAATTCAAATGAGTAACACAGTAATACTAGAAGACTCATATTCATCATCATCCGCACCCAGTGACGAAAAAGACGAATTTTTGCCTCCAGCAAAGAAAAAATTACATTCAAGTCCTAGATTAAAACCTTTGGATCAAACACTTACGTCTACTTGGTATCGAGAGCAACTCTCTATTAGGCAAGCAAGTACCTCTTTCATAGCAACTGAAAAGAGCCTTTGCCACGATGTTTCAAAAAGTTTCGTAACTCGATTCATCGTTTACCGAGCTTGGGTGGTCAATGGAAGAAAAATGGCAAGAAAAATCGAGGAGACGCTTTTTGAAAATCTTCCTCCTTTGGTCTTGTATTGGGATAGTAAATTGTAGCCTTCAGTTGCCCATGGGAATGTCAAAACTTTGAAAGAACGAGTTGCAGTTCTGGTGACTGGCAAAGATTTTGAGCATATACTTGGAGTACCTGTTGCCCAGAAAGGCACCGATAAGCAGATGGCTGAAGTAGTTATTCGGGAAGTACACTGATTTGAGCTAAGTGACAATATGATTGGTATGTCTTTTGATACTACATTGTCTATTACAGGACTGATCTAAGGGGCATGTAACAGAATTGAAAAAAAATTAAGACGAACATTGTTGTGTTTGGCTTGCCGTTATTACACTCATGAACTAATATTAAAAGAAGTGTTTGAGGAGTGTTTAGGGCTTTATAAAAAACAGCGAGTGAAAATGATTAACTACTTACAAAAAAGACGAAGGTTATTCAAGAGAAGACTACAAAGAGTTATTACAACTATCACTTTTGTACCTAAGACGTTGGTTTCAAGATGAATTCAGTTTTAGGATCTCAGGATTTCTGCATCAAGCAAGGTGGATGGCAAAAACGATTTATGCACTTAAAATTGTTCTCTTCACTAAACATGTCTCAACGAAAATTGAAAGAAATGAAAAGGGTTGCACATTTTATCAGCCTCATATATGTTCGCTTTTGGCACGAAGCAATTGTGAGTCAATGGGCTCCAAAAAATGATTTGGATATGCTGCAGCTTCTGAATATTTACCCAGATATAGAAGTCAAAGAAAGTGCTCCTACTGTTGCTAAGAGACACTTGTGGTATTTGTCAGAAACAAACGTGGGATTGGCTTTTTTGGATAAACGTATTAGTTAGATTGAAAAGGAAAATATGTCTAAATATTTAGAAACCAAACCTCCAAATTAAAAATAAAATTAAACTATTGGACGGTAAAAACTTATTGTTTGAATAAAAATACCTGAGCCATTTCATCACTAGTAAAACAAAAATGTTCTCTGAATTGTTTAGGGTCCATGATAAAACAGAATATTGCAGTGATTATCTAAGAAATTAAGTGAACGCTCTTAAGGTAGTGAATAATACCGCAGAAAGAGAAATTGCTCTAATAAAGAAATTTAACGAATCGGTCAGAGATGAACAACAAAAACAATTTTTGCTAAGGGTAGTGGAGCATCATAGAAAAGTCGTCACCAAGCGAACTAAACAAGGGATTGCATCGTTCAAAGTTAAATAATATAAGACAAGTTTTTCCTATCTATTACCTAATAATCTTAATAATATTACCTAATGATCTTAATGTGTAGTTTTAAGTTTGATATGTATAGTTTTAACAATAAAAGTAATTAACATTGAAAAGACGTATTCTTGCATACTTTTACAAAACTGGTCAAAGTGTGCAACCTCTAAATATTGTCCAATCCTCTTGAAATTATGCATACATATCGTTTATATCAATGACACTCGGGGCGTAAGCAAAGTCTGCAAACATTTTACATTTAATTTTTTTACTTACAAAGTGAAAAACCCTAATGTAGAGGGAACATTGATCTCTGAAAACAAATAGCAGTAAGTCGTCATATTAAAGAACGTTTATCTCAAGAACGATGAAATTTATTAACTATTTAAAAAGTTTTCCCTTATAATATCATATTTACGAAATTTTAGAAGAATTTTTTTTCAAAACGGTATAAATTTACGTTCAATCGTGTACTATAGCAAGGCAGATTTTAACACCTTTAACAAAATGGATCAAGATTTTATTTTATAGATACCTTATACACACACAGATACTAACATTTTATTATTTACAAGCTTCGACATCTGTAAAATTACAGATACAGAACCTAAATTTTTTCGTAGTTGTAGCAAATGAAAAATACTAACCTATAAACAAAAAGAATATGAGCAAGCCTAATTCGCGCATGCTGGCCTTCAGCGTTCGTCCTAGAATTTGAAGTCCTTTGCTGTGCCGACTGAGTTTGAAGATTCGGAAGACTCGCACAAGCCGAATGACGCGAAGAATGGCCAACGACATGGCCTGATTGGTGCTCTTGTCTTGCGGACTGACAGGCGCACGCGGCAAATTCAAAGTATCTTCTTCTTCCGCCACTACGGTGGCCAAAGTAATAAAATACGGAATGATGGCGATAATATCGATAAAGTTCATAACGTCGCGAAAAAAATGTAACTTGTTCGGACACGCCAGGAAGCGCACGGATAATTCAAACGTAAACCAAATGATGCAAATGGTTTCGATGAGGAAGAACGGGTCCGTGATGTCGGGCACTTCATCCTCTTCTATCTTGGTACCGTTGGTGGTGGTATTGAACACTTTGTAGTGCTTGAATTCGGGAAGCGTCTCCAAGCAGAATATGACGATGGACAGTAAAATAACGAAAACTGATATGATGGCAACCACTCGCGCTGCTTGTGACGATTCCGGATATTCAAACAGCAGCCACACGTTACGCTGGAATTCGTGCGATGGTAAAGGCTTCTCCTCTTCCTTGATGAACCTGTAAACAAACCGTCATCTATTAGAAACGAAAATCTTCAATGCAAGAGGTAGTAGTTAAAATATTATAATAAATAGCTATTTGTGTATTAAAACCGAAAAGTAATACATTGTTGCTTGAGGCAGAAATAATTTCAAAGTTAACTTATATGTTCCTATAATACAGGTATCTAATTAAAATTAGGCAACGATTTTTAAAATTTTGTTCCGATAGAACAACCAAGCTGCCACTTTGTCTTAATTTGAAAAGAATGTTATGTTGCGGTGAGATTTTGAACCGCAAAATCCTACTTGCGTTAAACAGGAATAGGTGGGTTCAAAAATACTTTTCATTATTATGTAGAGGTAATATTGAAATAAAATTTATGTGGAGACTTCCAAGGGAATTTATATACTAGTATATACCGTTGTTTTCGAACCAATAATCGATAGTTTTTCGGTTTTTTCAAACGATTTTTCTCTATATAGGGTGTTCATTAAAGAAACAAGTTCATTTAAACCAATTTACCTTTGTAGAATTTTGCTCGCCTAAGAAGTTACAGGGTGGAAAAAATACTTTTTTTTCTATTTTTTCATTAAAAAATGAGCCAAACTTTAGATGTGGTTAGTTTAGACCAAAAAAAGTTCATTTAAGCTAATTTACCTTAGTAGAATTTTGCTTGCCTAAGAAGTTACAGGGTCGAGAAAATAATTTTTTTTTCAATATTTTTCTGATAATCTAACTATTTTTAACCGACTTCAAAAAAGGAGGAGGTTATCAATTCGTCGCGATATTTTTTTTTTTTTTTATGTATGTTCAGCGATTATTCTTTAACATGGTGTCCGATTTCAACGATTCGTTTTTTGTTAGAAAGGGGGTACTTCAGGGGTGGTCCCATATAAATTTAGTCAAAATCTAATAATTGGGTCCATGAGAAAATCCTCAAACTCTTCATTTTGTTAGTAAGGGGGTACCTCAGGGGTGATCCCATATAAATTTGGTTAAGATGTGGTGATGGCATCTGCACGTTTTTGAAGTCGGTTTTTTTAAATTTTTAATTTACACTTGTTTCAGTAAATATACCCAAATTTTGTGAAAGTAAGTTTTTTTTGGGTGATACAAACCAATAACAGTTTTATGTTTCATTATACGTACAGGGCGTTCTAAACTGCCGTGCCAATCTAGTAATTACTTCATATTTTTTTTTTAAATTGACATTTTTGAAAAATAATTAATTATTTTGAAAAAACGTTCAATTCGCTTTAAAAAAGGTATACTTGTTGCATATCGCTAAAATGCATCATTTGAAGGAAAACTTAATTTAAAGTTAGTACTACAAATATATGAATTACTTTAAAATTTCTCAATTTCATAAATTTAAATCTAAAGATAATACATCTCTGTATCTGTAACGTGTGAAGGGTGGGTTACCCCCCACGACACATTGTGCATTCTCTTTGCACCTCCTTGCTCGTGAGCCAGCCTACAGATTTAATGTAGTTGACAATGTCGCCAAGAGGTGCTTCTCTTATATCGGCCGGTGTTAGCCGATACTCGTCGACCACAAATCTTCTAATAAATGTAAGCGTCGAGCAATCGTAAAGGATATGCTTGATGGTCTCATTTTCTTGTTCGCACCCTCTGCAGAGTGCGGATTCTGGTAGCCCCATGATATGGAGATGCTTCCGTGTTTGTCAATGGCCAATCAGAATGCCTGTGACTAGGCGCAGATTTTGTCTAGTATAGTCAAGCATTTGTTTGCTACAGTGTACAGAATAACTTAAGAGCTCCCTGGCAACTCTACAGTTTTCTGTTTCATCCTATCTTTCCTTGAATTTCACAAAGGAATGTTCTTTAATTAGGTCTGTCACTACCGATTTTGTCAGGACAATAAAAGGGCCAGGTCCAAAAGGTATTTGGTTGGCTGCTTTCTTGGCTAGTGAATCAGCAAGATGGTTATCTTTCCATGTGACGTGACCTTTGATCCATCTTAAGGTGACCACATTGTTGATGGATACTTCGAAAAAAGCTTCGTGACATTCTAGTACTAACCCTAAATAAATTCGTGGTCTTTTCAGGGTGAGTAGTGCTTGTCTGCTATCTGTATAGATGAGCATGTTCCTTCCAGTGATATTGTTTCTGGTTATTTCTTTTGCTGCTATGATAATCCCCGTTAGCTCTATTTGAACTATACTGACACTATTACTCAAAGCCCATTTTATGTTTAGGTTTAAGAATCTGGAGTATATTCCACATCCTGAGCCTTGTTTTGTTTTAGAACCGTCGGTGTAGATATGAATCGTACCTGTCACTTCTGGCTCTTCTATTTGTTCTATTGTAACTTATGGCTTATGGAAGATATATATCGGTGAGATAACGTCCATATTCTCTTGAAGCAGTGGATACGTATCGAACGCCTCCTGTCAAAAGTGACGTGTTGCCTCACCAGATAAGGTTCTATTCCAACCGTGCGGAGGCGTGTCATTGTCGTCGGAGTAACCTCCTTGATGTAAATATCAAGGGGAGTGAGACTAAGAATGACTTCCACCGCTCTGGTCGGTTTTGTTTTCATGGCTCCTGTTATGTTGAGACATGCTGTTCTTTGAATTTGTTCTAGTTTACGGATGGCTGTTAATTTTTGGGTTTTCGGTACCCAGACAAATGCACCGTATATTAGCATATGTCTTATGATAGCCGTGTAAGTCCATGAGACGACTCTGGGGAGAAACCCCAGGTGCGCCCCACGGTTCGGCGTCATTATTCATAAGCAATGCATGCTCTTTTAACTATGTTTTCTAAATGCGAGTTCCATGTTAACTTGCTGTCGAAAGTGAGACCTAGCTACTTCACCTCTATTGAAAAGTTTAGTTTTGTGTTTAGGAGTTCTGGATGTTTTAATTCCATTTTCATCCGTTTCCTTATGAATATCTTAATTATTAATATTCTTGCTTGGTTTTTATGTAAACTAAGCACGATTATTCACAATCATTGACTTTTATTTTAAGAAGTTTGTTGAGTTTGTACTAGTATGTAAAGTTTACAATAAGTAGTTACTTCTTGAAATACCGAAATTTTCACACAGTCTGAACGTCTGTAGGGACAACATTATTGGTATTAACTTATTATTATACGAGTAATTAGACTTTTTTATAAGTAATCTTAAGGTAAACAAATTTTATATAAAACTTTTTTGAATAAAATGCATATTTTCTAAAAAAAATGCTTTTTTTACATTGCATTTTCTATTGTAATTTAGGCAAGTATTATAATTCTGTATCTTTACTAATCTTATTACTGATAATCAAGATCAGGTAAAAATTGATTTTGTTAATAAGTTTTTATGAATTTATTAATTACTCTTTGTAAAAAGACATTAATGACAAAAGACATATACCGTTATTTCACCTTTCATGTCATATTTCCCTCCTATAGCGGTGGCGACAAAAAATTATTCTGAAAGACCTTAGGGGCGTGCCGCCGACGGTATTGAGATTTTGAAATATTAATAAGATTGTTAAGCAGGATTTATAAATTGTTAGTTGAGAAAGAAATTTAAAAACTGTTAATAGTTTATGAAAAATCTATAAAATAGATGTTAAAAATTGAATACATTTTAAGTAAGTTTTATTTGAAGAGTGAATAGGACAGTAAAAGACGAAGATATATAAAAAGCAAGGCAGGCATAATAGTAGGAGGCAGGCGAGAGAAAGAAGAGGATAGGTTTTTTAAAAATATATAATTCATATTGTATAGGAAGCCAGCTAAGCCACATTCCTATATGCTCTAGAATATTGAAATGATTTGTCCATTCAGGAGTAAAATGATTACAAATTGGCGCCCAACGTGAGGTGAAAAGTTAGCAGAAATAAGAGTAAAGGAAGCAGGTCAGCAAGAATAGGAAAAATAATTTGTCTGGTTATTGTAAAACACTAGTTCTTGAATGGTTATTGTGAGATTGGAATAAAATTGGTGTAAATCGAGTAAATAGCGTTAAGTAAATAAATAATAATTAAAATTCATACATACCCTTCATCTTCCCTAAATTTGTTGATAGCCAGCTCGCCCAGCTCGTAGAATTTGATTTCTTCGGAAAAGACGTCGAGTGGCACGTTGACGGGCCTTCGTAACCGGCCGCCACTCTGATAATAGTAAAGGATGGCGTCGAAGGAGGGGCGATTTCTGTCGAAGAAGTACTCATTACGAAGAGGGTCGAAATAACGGATCCGACGTGCAGGATCGCCCAGTAGAGTATCGGGAAACTGGTTAAGCGTCCTAAGTTGCGTCTCGAACCGGAGGCCGCTGACCTAAAATGTAATAACAATAATTTATTCACTGCAATAAAATATTAGCAGGTAAATTTTTCCAACGCAATGGGGAATTCTCATTTTTTTTAAATTTCAGTTATTGATAAATATTTGGACCAAAAATTATTTTATTCGTGGTTTCTAAACTTTAAAGCGCATATGTTCCTAATTTAATATAGTATTTTTAATACAAATCCCGTTGTGCGTCATCAATGACGTTGATCTTTCGTCAAAGTACTACCAACCGAATCAAATGTCCCTAAGCTAATAATAATCCGAAAATGTCACGAATATTCTCGAACATTCATGAACGTAATCATATTACTAAAAACCGAATTATATGAGTGTGATACTTTTGATAATTTTAGAATTTTTTCAATTAATTAGTTTATACCTACACGTCCTATTCTTGCTAATATAAAATTTATAAAAATTGTATTACATGTTTGTTACTCAAAAAAAAAAACACTATTTACATTAAATAATTTTGAAATTCTGTACGCCCATGAAACTATTTATGGAGGCAATTGGAATACCTTGTTGCGGCGATGCTAATAATATTTAAAAAAATGAACTGATTTAGGTTAGGTTTTGTATAAAGTTTACAAGTTGATTTCATGAATTCCAAAATAAAAACAGTGTGAGAAAAAGCTCATTATTTCTTTTATTTCTACATACAAAATGCCAAAAAAACTAAATAGTCGTTTTAAGGAGCTTCGTTAATACAGTATTTTGAAGGAGAGCATGATGAATGAGTCATCACTTTTACCTTCAACTCTGTTAAGTGCTGTGTGAGACGAAAGTTAAAAATTATTAGAAATTTAGTATAGAAATATGAAATTGATTTCTTGTTTGTTCTAGCGTATTGCAGCAAACCTAAACCTAAATATTTTTACTGTTAGTAGTATTTCACTAGCAGTCAAGAATAATGAATGATTAAAATCGCTACTTAAAAAGCATTAATATAAACAAGGGATTACTAATAAAATAACACTGGATACGAGTGGAATCCGAAATGGTATTTATAACTATTTATTCAAACATAATTTATTTATAAGGTAGTGGAGGTATATATGGCCGGCCGGATTATATGGCCCAGTGATCAAAAAAATTATAAGCAAAGAAACTATTTAAAACTTGGCAACGCTTAAACGCCTAAACCGGTCAGTATACTTAAACGCACATTTCAAGGTCAAAATTTCAGTTCGTTACTGTGCTCGCTGCAGTCAAGTGTAAATCTGTGCATTTCGTAGCTCTGTTATAAAGTAAATGAAGGTTAAGGGATACGTATTTTAGAATTTAAACGAATTAGTGATAGTGCATAGACCACAAACTGTAAGTACTGGTGTTGTTAATCTATTCTCTCATTAAAATATTGCAGGTTTTTTACATATTTTTTTTTATGTTACCTGCCGATAAGTAAATTCATTGCATTCGGTTAATATGGCCCGTTATCGAGATGGGAAATACGGCCCCATGGGCCATATTGTCCTATGCTGGGCGATATTACCTGTCTATTGGGCAATACTACCAGGAAAGGTTTTTTTGAAAGTTTTAATAAAGTAATTTATTCTTTTTTTGCAGGTGCAGTCAATATGGCCAAAATAAAGAATAAGAATAGAAACATTAGAAAGCAGAGGACACAAAAAATTTAGAAAGTGCGTTGGAAGCAATTATTAATAACAATGAGTCACAAAGGGAAGTATCAAAAGATTTGGGATTCCACGACGAACTCTCAGAAGATACATAAGAGATGGCGGTGCTTCAGTAAAACGCTTAGGCAGACCAAGCATTTTGTCCCCAGAACAAGAAAGAGACTTCGTGCAAAGAATTATTAGATACAGCAAAATAGGTTTACCTCTAACTTCCAATTTCGTTCGTCACCAAGCTTATAGATACTGCAGTCGTTTTAACATAACTAATAACTTTAGCAAAAAAATGAAATGGCGGACAAGGATTGGTTGCTACTTTTTATGAGAAGACATCCCGAGATTTCCAAGAGGAAGGCTCAGTCAATAAATCCGGCCAGAGCTCAAAAGATGAATCGGCCCATTGTTGCAGACTACTTTCAAATATTTGGACAAATTTTGGATGACTTAAATTTAAAAAACTAACTGCAAAGCATTTATAACATGGATGGGATAGGGTATCGCCTTACAATCCATCACCAGCAAACCGTGCTTGCACTTAAGGGAAGTAAACGGGTTCACCTAATAGCACCCGAACACGCTGAAAATGTCACAGTGGTTGGATGTGTCAACGCAATTGGAAATGCCATACCTCATGATCATATTTAAGGGCAAGCGTCTGAAACCGGAATATTGTGACAATGTGCTTCCTGGTACTTTGGTAAAAATGGCTTTAAGGGGCAGTATGGTAACTGACCTTTTTATTGAATTTTTGCATCATTTAGCAAAACATAAAGTAGCTGGCCAAGTTTTGTTAATATTTGATGGTGCCTTAAGTCACTTGGATCTAAGTATTGTAGAAGCTGCTGATGGTTTAAATATTACCTTATTTTGCCTACCCTCTAACACAACACATGAACTGCAGCCCCTAAATAAATCAGTTTACAAATCTTTTGAATCTCATTGGGACACAGAGTTGCTGAGATATTGGGATGTGAACCCAGATAGATCGTTAATGAAAGCACGTTTTAATATTATTTTATCTCAAGTTTATCCCAAATGCATGACTCCTGAAAATATAATAAATGGGTTTAGAGGTACTGGGATTTACCCTTTTAACCCATCGGCGATACCAGATTGTGCTTTTGCTCCGGCACAACTATCAGAGCGACCTCAAAATATCCCGGTACATTTAAACGAACGTCAGAATTCTGAATCCTCTTCGGAGGATGAAATTCCACTGGCCAGCCTAATGCAAAGAAAAGAAACTGGCGAAACGAATAAAACACCTGCAGAAACAAATATCGTAAAAGATAGTTTCAAAGATAAGGAAAATACTCTCTCAAACATCCTTAAAACTAAAAAGCGACAATCAAACAACCCTGCGGCTCATAAAAGTCCATCAAAACCATTAGATCTAGATGAGTCGTTTAAGGAACTTTTGCCTACACCCGACGGTACCAAGCGAGACACAAGAGTTAACCGCCGTAAGGCTATTAACTATAAAGCTCAAAAGGTAACCAAGGATCTCTTTAATGAATCCCATTGCGAGCCTTCCACATCAAGGCAACCACAACCATCGCTTTCAAAGCCAGTAGAGTCCTGGTATTGTTCGATATGTGATACCGACCAATAGACTGAGATGAGGTTGTTCTCCACGTGTCTGACATACTATCATGAAGAGTGTGTTGGCCTAACAGCAGATGATGAAGATGATTTTGAGTGCCCAAACTGTTTCTAAAGAGTTGTTTTTGCTTGTTTTTCTTTTTGTGCAATTTAGTAACTAGGATAATAAGGGCACACATATACATATTAGTTTTTCTTTTATTTTCCTTTATTTTTCTTTCAAATACTAACTAAGTAAGAGTTGTAATTCTATTTTAGTTTGTTTTGGATGGTATTTTCACTTAGTTTTAAGATGTTTTTATTGTGGGCCATATTAACCACCATAGGTGGATAATATGACCAGATGAAAGAATTTTTATGTTTGACAAAAATATATATTTTGTTTCAAAAATACTTAAACCAAATATGTAGCTTGGAAGTACAAAAAGTACATGCTAAATATATGTAAGTTTAACTTATATTTTTTTAATAAAGTTTTGAAAAAATCCATGATTTTGCTTAGGTGGGCCATATATACCCCCACTACCTTATTACCTATAAAAGTTTCGATTTGTATACCTATCTACAGTAATATAAATACATACTTATTTGCAGGTACAACTGTGGAACCTTTGAGATAAAATTTGATTGAGAAACAAATGTTTAATGGCTATATTGCATCATTGCGAACTGTATTAAAAGAATAAAGGAAAAAAAGATAACCAAGATGTAAAGAGTTCAATTCTTAAGAAATGATAGAAATACAAAAAAAGCAGTTCGTTTTTATTGATGAAACATGTATCTTTCAAAATGGAATATTACACAGCTCCTGGCAAAAAAAATTACAAAAATCGACAGCAAATTTCCAAATTTGAAGTAAATAAAGGTATCAGTAATCATGTAAATTGAGTAAAAAAACTTCTTAGGTATGTTTTGTTTTTCTTAGCATGTGCCAAAATTCCTATATTCTAAACTGTAGTATTAAAGATTTAATGGTAGATACGCCATTCCAGCAATCATATGAAGACAATTAAATTGGAAAAATTAGATTAGAGTGGTCAATAAAAATCTACTTGTTTTTCACATTCTCAAGATATGCACTGAAAACCAAAAAAGCCTTTTTTTTTCAGAAATAAACTTACTTTACAAGGTTTGCTATAACGGTGTACCTACCATTAGATATTTGATATAATGTTTTGTTTCGATATTACAAATTAAAATATGGCGATATTGACACATGTTATACGAAAAGGAAATAGTAACTAGAAATAAATAATACATTATTTTTACAAACTGCCTAAGAAATATATGGTAGATAATTAAGCAGAACAATATAGGCATAAAGTATTACGTCTTCTTCCCTGCCATTGTGTTTTTAACCCCATTAAACTTATTGGGGACCTTTCCAAGCAATATTATAATAAAAATATTGGCATTGAAGGAGTTTTTGATAGATTCGAAATTATTTTTATTATAATTAACACTAACAGCGATATCGATTCAAATATTTGCGTTCTGGATTAGGAGAAATAAAAGAATTACTAAAATTAGTAGATGAATAATTGTGTCTTATGAGAAAAGAATATATTTAAAAAAACAAAATTGTCAAATTTTGAAATTAATAAATAGTTTGATATATTTCTTATATATTTGTATTTTTATTTAATTTATTCCAAAATATAAAAAAAATATTTGACTCTGAGATTTGATTGCTTGTTTGGGGTTCAATGACTGCGATGACTTGCAATCTTTATCGTTTTTAGTCCT